AGGTTTTAATACCAGAAATACTTCGTAAAAAATTATTACCAGCAATAATTTTTTGTAGAAAAAAGAAACTATCGCCAGCAATACACTTTTGAAGGAAAATATTACCAGAAATAGATTTTTGACAAAAACAAAATCTTAGCAGCAAAATAAATTTTGTCGGCATTAAATAACCCATTGATGTTGATATGCCGTAAAACAAACCAAACCAAACCATATTTCCTTTCGTATATTTTGTATAGACATTTCCTTCTGGGTCCCAATATGAGACCTAAGGTCAGAAATGACATCATCACATTTTCCACTTAGCATTAAAAAAAAACAAAAAACATCACACACATTTTACATAGATAAAGTCCTTCGTGATATGTGGGCTGTACTTGGGAGTACAATTTTTTGTAATTTCTTTAAGGCATGGGCTACGAGGAATCCCTTCAATGAATCTATGGGAACCTTTTCCAATCAATACAAGGGCACCAAACCAAAACTGATAATTATTAATGTGCCACATTTTTACCACAAGATCTTTGTATTTCGATAGTTTTTTGAAGATCTTCAAAGATGCATTATAATCTGCAGGGACTGCCATGTCAATAAGAAAACACATTCTGATTTTGAGGTCTTTGAACATGATGTCTGGCCGATTAGCTTTTATTGTTCTGTCTGTATTTATTGTAAAGTTCCATAAAATTGTTACAGGCCCTATCTCTGTAACTGTGTGTGGGTCATGTTCATACCAGTTCATTGCCGTTTCCGTTCCGTAAAAGTTCCACATTTATTATTATTATTATTATTATTATTATTATTATTATTATTTCCTTTGATTTCTGTTGTATACACATTCCCTTCCGGGTCCCAACCAGAGACCTAAGGTCAGAAATGGCAGCATTATATTTTCCAATGATCGTTTTTGTATAAGAAATAACTAAGATCACACACATTTAACATAGATAAAGCCCTTTGTAAGGTGTGAGCTGTACTTGTGAGTACGTTTATTTTTGTATTTCCTTAAGGCGTACGCTACCAGGAATCCTTTCAATAAGTTTATCGGAACCTTTTCCAATCAATCCGAGTGCTCCACATACAACTGTAATTACTGATGTCCTCATATGCCACATTTTTTAGATTTCCGTTTCAAGATCTTTGTATTTTGATAGCTTTTTGAAGATCTTCAAAGATACGTTGTTATTATTATTATTATTATTATTATTATTATTATTATTATTATACGTCGTTTGATTGATTCGTTCAGCATAGTTTTACCTGAGATCAAAGGTAAATGAAGGATTCTTTTAGGAAATTAATGACAATATTGGAAATGAAAGAATGTTTTAATGAAACCAACTAACTCATTAAGTCAGTCTTGGATATTTCAGACGAAGAGGGATCTTCTGCGATTTTTTCTTCAACGTTAATCTTCTTAATCACTCAATCGTTACTACCACTACTACTACTACCACTATTACTACTACCACTACTACTACTACTACCACTACCACTATTACTACCACTACTACTACCACTATCACTACTAATACCACTATTACTACCACCACTACTACCACTACTAGTACTACTACCATCACCACTACTATCAGTACTATTACCACTACTACTATTTTACTACTACCACTATTACTACCACTACTACTACCACCACTACTACTACCACTATTACTAATACTAGAACAAAGGTTGCATTTAAATACCAAATTCTTGTCATTTCTATCTACGGATGCCTATAATTAATGTTCTTATCAAATTCTTTTGCTGAAAGGCTTTTATCAGACGCGCTGTGATTGTCCCTTGACTTATAGATATTCTTTGAAGTGTGTTTTTATGACAATGTCTGGTCTGTTAGATTTGATGGTGTTGCCGCTATATATGACGAAGTCCTCGAGCGAAATCATACCATCGGTATCTAGAATTGGTGGCAGGTCTTCTCACATACCATTTTCCTGTATAGTTGAGAATATAACGTAATGCATTCCATTGGCTGGATTGTCCTGACCTATCAGGACTAATTTTTTTTTTTTAATTTGCTAGGGTCGATTCAATCATTAAAAGTCTCCACGGCTTGTGTATTAAAACGTCGCCTCAGATTTACCTACTTTTATTATTATTATTATTATTATTCCCCACACCCAGAGCTATCCGGTGAAAGTCAGTGAAGATAAGAGCAACGGGATGGTAGATCAAATCTGAATCACTCCCCCCCACACACACGTACAGAGGCATATATATACACATGCAGACAGACGCGCACCCACAGATTTCTTGATATGAAATAAGCACACGACTAGAAAGTTGGAAGGTCACAAAGAAGATTGTACTGCTTCAAACCACTAAATATGGAAATCAGAACTCTCTCTCTCCCCCTCTCTGTCTTTATCTCTGTCTGTCTGTCTGTCCGTCTCTCTCTCTCTCACTCTCTCTCTCTCTCTCTCTCTATATATATATATATATATATATATATATATATATATAATCTTATAAATATAAGTAAGTATACTTGTCCGGAAAAACTGGACGATCCGCGTAGGTGAAACCAGGCAAATCTGGCTCTTTAGGTTCGTAGTTATATATATATATATATATATATATATATATATATATATATATTTGGTTGGATTGATGTGAGTTTGTGACCCTACGTTTCACGCTTTTGCAATCATCAGACAAACTGATTAATTTTTTAAAATTTTGGATTTATGTAGGGTTATGTGTATTGGTGTTTTTATGTAAGTGTGAGGGAAATATTCATCGTGACGTCACTCATACTTGCGCAAACATACATACACGCCCGTACACCCATTGGGGTACGCAGACACACACACGCTCGCCCGCCAGGACTCACACAAACATAAACATCATCTCAGAGATATAAACAGATCCTGAATAAGGCCGGAGCGTACAACGGCCGAAACGTTGTGAATATGGCAATGGGGATGAGGATAACAGCCCGAATAATGTAAATAATGCAAGTAATCATAATACCTCATCTCAGAGATATAGACAGATCCGGAATAAGGCCGGAGCGTACAATGGCCGAAACGTTGTGAATATGGCAATGGAAATGAGGATAACAGCCCGAATAATGTAAATAATGTAAGTAATCATAATACCTTATCTCAGAAATATAGACAAGGTTTGACTGTTTCATTTTTTTACTGTATTTTACCAATTTTCGAAGAAGGTGTTGAGTTTTATGCTCGATGTCTGGATAAACTGTCCATAGCTCATTTTCTTAGAGTTTGTTTCAAGTACTTTCGACCGTATTTTGAAAATAAGCAGTGTGGATATAGGTATCAGTACTGGATGGCAATAGCCTGTTTCATGCCTTCTAACGCGCTACGGCACAAAGCCCTTTTATTTGAGATTCAATATCAACAGAACCCTCCTCCTCTGATACAATGTTTGACTAGAAGAAGCAGAAGATTTTTCATTTCGCTCCACTCCTCTTTAAGCAGGACAGACAGGCGAAGGCCATGTTTAGCGCTCGGTGGGTTCCGGGGGGGTGGTGTGGATGAAGGCGGCAAAAAATACAACTGCAACGTGGAAAAGAAAACAGAAAGAAAAGAAAAAAAGGAAAAGAAAGAAGAATCGAGGAAAAGAAAAGAGAGAGAGAGAGAAAGGAAAAGAGTGTTAGAAGAAAGAGAGAGAGAGAGAGGAAAAAGAGATAGAGAAGAGAAAGTAAGAGAGAGATGTGTGAGTGATAAAAGAAAAGTAAGAGAAAAAGAAAAAGAGAGGGGAGAGAGATAAAAAAGAAAGAAAATAAAAGAGAAAAGAAGAGGAGAACTGTAAAAGTTGAGAGATGAATATAAGAAAGAAAGAAAAAGAAAGAAAGAAAAAAGAAAGAAAGAAAAAGAAAGAAAGAAGATAGAGGGATGAAATGAATAGAAAAGATGGGATGAGAAAGAAAGAAAAAAGAAAAGGTAAATCGTTTGAAAAAAAGAAAGGGAAAAAGAAAGAATAAGGATAAAAAGGGAGGGGAAGAAAAAACATGCTGCAAAAGAAAGAAAGAAAGAAAGAAAGAAAGAAAGAAAGAATAAAATTTTATAAATGAAGAAAGAAAGTGTAAGGGGGGAAAGAAGACAAAAAGAAAGATGGTTGATCGAAAAAGGAAAGAAAAAAGACATGTTTTATAGACGAGAGAAGACAAAGAAAGAAAGAAAGAAAGAAAGAAAGAAGAAGGAAAGAAAAAGAGAGGAAAGAAGAAAAGAACTGTAAAAGTTGAGAGATTAATATAAGAAAGAAAGAAAGAAAGAAAGAAAGAAAGAAAGAAAGAAAGAGGGCGAAACGAAAAGGGAAGAAAAAGGTAAATAGAAGTAAAGAAAAAAGAAAAGGTAAATCGTTTGAAAAAAAGAAAGGGAAAAAGAAAGAATAAGGATAAAAAGGGAGGGGAAGAAAAAACATGCTGCAAAAGAAAGAAAGAAAGAAAGAAAGAAAGAAAGAAAGAAAGAAAGAAAGAAAGAAAGAATAAAATTTTATAAATGAAGAAAGAAATTGTAAGGGGGGAAAGAAGACAAAAAGAAAGATGGTTGATCGAAAAAGGAAAGAAAAAAGACATGTTTTATAGACGAGAGAAGACAAAGAAAGAAAGAAAGAAAGAAAGAAAGAAAGAAAGAAAGAAAGAAAGAAAGAAAGAAAGAAAGAAAAAAGAAAGAAAGAAAAAGAGAGGAAAGAAGAAAAGAACTGTAAAAGTTGAGAGATTAATATAAGAAAGAAAGAAAGAAAGAAAGAAAGAAAGAAAGAAAGAAAGAAAGAAAGAAAGAAAGAAAGAGGGCGAAACGAAAAGGGAAGAAAAAGGTAAATAGAAGTAAAGAAAAAAGAAAAGGTAAATCGTTTGAAAAAAAGAAAGGGAAAAAGAAAGAATAAGGATAAAAAGGGAGGGGAAGAAAAAACATGCTGCAAAAGAAAGAAAGAAAGAAAGAAAGAAAGAAAGAAAGAAATCATATTAAGAGAAAAAGAAAAAGTGAGATTAATAGAAGAGGAAAGAAAGATTAAGGGGAAAAGAAAGAAGAGAAAAATGTTAAAAAGAAAAGAAAGAAAGAATCAAAGGAAGTAAGGTAAAAAGAAAGAAGAAAGCTTAATAGGAAAAGACGAGAGAAATGGAGATAATTTACAGAAGAAAAAAGACAGAAAACGAAAAGAAAAAGTATGAAAAAGAAAACAATGAAAATCAAGAAAGAATGAAAGATTTCAATGGAATTTTCTGAGAGTAGGAATGCAGAAGGATTGGTAGGGGTGCGAAAACAGAAATGCAGACAGACCCGATCCAGGGCTGATGGCGGGGATCGTTGGTGTAGTGGGGTTGGGGGGGGGGAGTGGCAGTATGAACGTGAAAGGAGATAGGGATGTCGCAAGGTGCCGTCAGTCGTAAGAAATCCGTCACAAGAGAATGAAGAGAATTTTGACTTCAATGACGTCAGACAAAAACCCCAGAATTGCCATTCTCACCGAGCCTTTAATGACAAGGCTCCCTAACCCCGCATTCTTTATGGCAGACGAAAAGTATACACACACACACACACACACACACACACACACATATATATATATATATATATATATATATATATATATATATAAAGAGAGAGACACATATATATATATACATACATATATATATATATATATATATATATATATATATATATAAAGAGAGACATATATATATATATATATATATATATATATATATATATATATATATATAAATAAAAGTGAACATAGAAGTCAACACTTAAAAGGCGACAGTCTGTTTCATGCTAGACGAATCCGTTGGGACTGACGATTGCGTCTGGCATGAAACAGCCTGCCGCCTCTGAAACCTGACTTTATGTTCACTTTATATATTTACACACGCTCTATCTCTGATATTGAGCACTTTATCCCATAAATATAGCACATCTTAAGACTATATTTCTTCATATATATATATATATATATATATATATATATATTCTTCAGTATCTGTCTGTATCTCTGAAATGAGGTATTATGATTACTTAAATTATTTACATTATTCGGACTGTTATATCTCATCTTCATTGGCATATTTAACACAAATTTCGGCCGTTGTACACTCCGGCCTTCTTCAGGGGATTGGTATTTCTAACCAAGCCCTTTATTTCGTCCACTGTGGAGAATTTAGTTAAAGGGAAATAACCGAGACATCCGAAAGAGGCATGAAACGTGAAACTAGAATAATCTAACCCAGTAGACGGAATAAAGGATTCAGTTCAAAATTGCAATCACCAAGGGCGGAGCGTACAACAGCCGAAACGTGAATATGGCAATGCAGATGAGGATAACAGTCCAAATAATGTAAATAATATAAACATATATATATATATATATATATATATATATATAAATACACACACATACAAACATATATATATATATATATATATATATATATATATATATATATATATATATATATATATATATATCAGGCCTGAAGATTGCGTTTAGGCATGAAACAATTCGATACTTACTGGGTGCTCCACGCATTTGATCTTGTGTCACATCTAAGCTACGCTAATAAAATAACTTGAGACACTTCGATCCGTTGTAAAAGGGTTAGCATTAGTTTCATGCTGGACACAATCGTCAGGCCGTTTCCAAACATACCTCCGTCAGTTTTGAATTCAGTTATCCTTCTTAAACCGTTCGCCACCCAAGGCTACAGGACCCATTCTTTCCTGCTATTTACCCATAGCTGGGGAAGGCAAAAGAGTCGGCTTCGTACTTTTCCAAAGGATATTAACACGTAAGTGAATTCAATGAACTTGCCTGGAATTCGAACTCGGCTCTTCGTTTTCTCAGTTCTTGTCGCTATCCATCGTGCCTCCATTTCTGCTAGCTATATTCAGTGAAATCATGTTAGTCCAATTCTCAGATTTTAGATGCATACTTACTGGGCCCCAGGGAAAAGTTCTAACGCAAAATATTTTATTCTTCATGGGGTAAGGTCGTATGTCTCCCTTTTCTTTTACATTTATCTTTAATAGCAGCATTAATAATTGTTTTTAATTCCTCCTCACAAATCTCAAATGTCTCTTTAAAAGTGCCGATAAGGAAAGCATTTATGGGATTTGAAAAGTCAAAACCACAAAACGTTTTTTTTTTTTTTTTTTTTTTTGTTTTTTTTTCGCCGGCTAAAAGAAAGCCTTTCTATTTTTCATCGTTGTTCTTTATTGAGAGCATACCAGATGCAAATGGTATGGATATACCATTCATCTTTTCCTGCTATTAATTGATCTTGACAATGAAACATGAAGCAAAAGTAGAGGAAGCATAGCAAAGATTATATCATAGATATGTTTACAATTCACTTGATTTTCTTTTGTAGCAAAAGATAGAACCACATTATGATATATATATATATATATATATATATATATATATATATATATATATATATATATATCAGGTCATCCCCTAAGTTCTGTCCGAATTTTGAATAAAGAAAACAAGTGACCAAATGTTACATTTAATTACAGAATCAATCAACAATGTATTTTCCCTGATTATCTATGATTTCCTTCCATCTATTAACAAGCTTACTAATTCCATTACTGTAAAACTCTTTTGGCTTTGATTCGAAGAACTCACAAATGTCAGTTTTAACCTCTTCCTGTGTTACAAAAGCTGTTTCTTCCAAATGATTCTGTAAGCTACGAAACAAATGGTAGTCAGAAGGAGCAAGATCGGGAGAATAAGGTGCATGAGGAATTTTCTCCCAACCAAGTTCTTCGATCTTTTGTGACGTGATTCTTGCTGTGTGGGGTCGCGCATTGTCCTGATGAAACGTCACCTCTTTTCGATTCACTAGAGCAGGTCTTTTTTTTTTCTCAAAGCTTGGTTCAAACGCTCTAATTGCTGACAGTATATTTGAGCATTAATTGTTGCAATAGGTGGTAAGAATTCAAAGTGGATTATTCCTTGGCGATCCCACCAGATTGAAAGAAGAAACTTTTGCCCATGAAGTTCCCTTCTCGGCTGTGGCTGGGGTCCTTCCCCTTTACCAAGCCACTGTCTATGATGCTTAACATTTCGATAAAAGATCCATTTTTCATCGCCAGTCACAAGTCTATCCAAAAAAAGTGAAACAAGTTGGCGAGAATGGAGAGAAGAGCAGATGTCAACTCGGGATTTGAGGTTGTTTTCAGACAATTCATGAGGCACCCATTTTCCAAGTTTAGGAACTTTTCCAAGTTGTCGAAGATGACGATGAACAGTTGTATGCTTTGAACTGAGCACCACTGCCAATTCCTCAACTGATAAAGCAGGATTTTCTTCAAGGGCTGCTTCAAGAAGCTTTTCATCAAACTCAACTGGACGTCCGATTCGATCTTCATCTTCAAGGGTGAAATCTCCACCTCTGAATTTTGCAAACCATCTTCTGCAAGTTCTTTCATTCACACATTCCTCTCCATAAACCGAGTGAATGTTTCTAGCTGCTTCGGCTGCTCTGTTTCCTTTCTTGAACTCATAAAGCATTATGTGCCTCAAATGATTCTTGGGTACTTCCATGTTAGCAGGGTTTTAATCAAACAAAATTTAATTTTATTGTTTTCTGAAATAAAATTTGATCAGTTTAAATGTATCTAAACATTAAAATAATGTTCAGCTCCATTAGACATTATAAAATACTCTTTAAATTTCGTTCATTTTAACAAAAAGTTAAAATTCGGACAGAACATATGGGATGACCTGAGATTAAGTATAGCAGCTCATCAACAGGACGAAGGAATCGGTTGGCTGAACCGTTTATAACGAATAAAAAAATATGTATCATCTAAGAGACTTTTCTTTTCCTTCCATCAGCACGGCTGATGCTAACCTGTCTATAAATATGTTCATTTTATTTGTTCTGGTAAGATTTCCTCTTTGGAACCGAAACTTTATGAATTTAAGCGCAGTTCAAGATTGGTGGCAAGATCTCATCATTTTACAGTTAAAATGCCGAGATGCAAGCGTAAGTTTTATGCTAATAGGTTTTTCTTTCTTGTTTCTCGCTTCGGGCTTCTTGCTTTTGAGTCAAATTTAAATGCAATGTCAATCGTTATCTTCTGTCTACTTAATTCTTGTACTTTTACTATTCTATCTCCTTAATAATGTTTTCTTTTCTCATATACTCTCACAGTCGATAAACCCTTGGGTGTTAGTAGCTTTTTTGCCTAAATATATAACTACTAAATTGTATGACCCGGCAGCCAACAAAGAAAGTAACGAAACTTGTATAAAAGAGGGATTGTTGCCCAAATACACCTAACGAGCATTGTATACTTGTAAGTTGGTTGCAAGATAAATCCTTTAAACTTTACTTCATATGTTTTGGTTTTTGGGTTTTTTTTTGTTTTTCTCACATTTAAGCTGTGGTCTTTTTGCGTGTTGTCGATTTGCGTTATCATTATTAGACAAACAGATAGATAGATAGATAGATAGATAGATAGATAGATAGATAGATAGATGTTAACTGGCTGAAATAGATAGATAGATAGATAGATAGATAGATAGATAGATAGATAGATAGATAGATCCCTGAGCTGACTTAGAAAAATCGATCGATCGATCGATAGCCAAGACGGAATGATTGCTTGAAAAGACATTCGCTGAGATCCAAGTTTAGTCTATCGAACACCGTGACATAGAATAAAGTTGTTGACCTTCCAAAATTCTTCCTTGACTCTCTTCTCCGTCGCATTTATTTCCTTGATTGAAAGATGCACTTCTCACTGGCTGTTGTGTTAGACACACGAACAAAACCCAGAGGGTAAAGAATTTTTTTCATCTAACTTTCGTATATATATATATATATATATATATATATATATATAGTGATTGAAAAGTATCTCCATATTTTATGTATGAAGCACTCTCCCGTCTTGTAAAAATTACAGCTACACAGAAGAGTCCATCAAACATAAAATATGGAGTTACTTTTCAATCACCCTGTATATTTATTAGACATTAAATTATATCACTTAGCATCCTCCATAATTAACCTTCACTTTCAGTGAGATTAAAGAATACACCTGAGCGTTCGTAACTGTAAAACTTCTGAAAAATGCCGGACATTTTTGCACACTTTTTACATTATTCGGGCTTTGTCACCATATTTATCACAACATTTCGGCCGTTGTACGCTCCGGCCTTCGTAAAGTGGTTGGAATGTCGAACTGACCCCTTTATTTCGCTTGCTGGGGTAGACTGTTCTAGTTCTATATATATATATATATATATATATATATATATATATTTGGTTGGATTGATGTGAGTTTGTGACCCTACGTTTCACGCTTTTGCAATCATCAGACAAACTGATTAATTTTTTAAAATTTTGGATTTATGTAGGGTTATGTGTATTGGTGTTTTTATGTAAGTGTGAGGCAAATATTCATCGTGACGTCACTCATACTTGCGCAAACATACATACACGCCCGTACACCCATTGGGGTACGCAGACACACACACGCTCGCCCGCCGGGACTCACACAAACATAAACATCATCTCAGAGATATAAACAGATCCTGAATAAGGCCGGAGCGTACAACGGCCGAAACGTTGTGAATATGGCAATGGGGATGAGGATAACAGCCCGAATAATGTAAATAATGCAAGTAATCATAATACCTCATCTCAGAGATATAGTAAAAGTAAAAGGTTTGGCAGTTACCTGATAATTGTTACCTTCAGCATCCCGACTCCAGAGTTTCGTAGACGGACCCTCCGGGAATCACTTCATCCACTCTTCAGTGGCTATCACCAATTGACGGTTTATATTTCTTGATATTTTTTTCTTTTCTATATATATATGCATGTGTGCATGTGTGTGTATGTATATGTATGTGAAAAGTGTGTGTATATGGATATAGATGAATATGTGTAAGTGTGGATATGTGAATATATTTTTATATGTATATACATGGGTATATGTCTGTGTGTATGTGGGTACACGCCTATGTGTATGTATATACGTGTATATGTTATTGTGTATGTGTGTATTCGCATGTGTTTTTGAACATAGAAATATAGGTCCTTGCTGGATTAGATAATCGTTATATTTATTTTTTATATGTTTATATTTGATTTGTAACCTGTAGTCGATATTAAATTTGTCAAATTTTCTCAATTACAAAGCGGCCCTTTAAGTAAACGCAATTTTACTTTCCTTCGTCCCATCTCTCTCCCCCACCTCGTCTTTCCCTCCCTCTTATTCTAACATTAGATTGTCTATGGTGTGTGTATGTCACCACGAAATTGTATCTTTATGCATTAGACATCTGACAACATTCATTTTTCTCTTACTTAAACCCCTTCCACCCACCTCTCCTAAAATTCTCTCTGTTAAGGTTTAATCTCCCTCCTCCTTATACTTACACTCTCTCTAAATTCTGTTTTTATTTCCGAGTTGTTTTTCTGTTTTCTTTTTTGAATTTGTAGGTCTGATGAATTGGATCGTATTTACGATTCCAATGGAATAAATTATGACCATGGAATATTAGTGTTTAAGCCTTTTTATTATATATATATATATATATATATATATATATATATATATATATATATATATATATATATAAAAAACAATAGTAAGATATATAATCCGATGTTCTACATCCCTAACCCTACCTAAAGGAAAACCCTGCTCTAAACGTAACTAATAACTGATACATCAAAATACAGTGATAATGAACACGCAACTACCCCTTGTCTGGATGAATGGATTTCTCTGTATGCTTGGAAACGTGAATCATGAATTTTGCAATGCCTTTAAAACCCAGTAATGTTAAAAATAAGTTACAAAATTCGCTTGAGGATGAAATGGAACTAATTTCTTTAATTTAATTACAAAATTAAATTCGAAGCTTTTAGCTTCCATTTTTTAAACATGGTTAGAACTGTGTAGCGAAAAAACCATATTTTAAATCAGTTAATATATATATATATATATATATATATATATATATATGAAGAAATGTAGTCTTAAGATGTGCTATATTTATGGGATAAAGTGCTCAATATCAGAGATAGAGCGTGTGTAAATATAAAAGTGAACATAGAGGTTAATACTTAGAGGCGACAGTCTGTTTCATGCTAGATGTAATAGTGGCCTGACGATTGCATGTAGCATGAAACAGACTGTCGCCTCTATATTAACCTCTATGTTCACTTTTTATATATATATATATATATATATATATATATATATATATATATATATATATATATATAAAGCGAACATTGAAGTCAACACTCAGAGGCGACAGTCTGTTCCATGCTAGACGCAATCGTCAGGTCTGCGTCTTGCATGAAACAGCCTCTCGCCTCTGAGTGTTGACTTCAATGTTCACTTATATGTATACATATACACACACACATTAAGAAACTTGGTCCATGTTCAAAAGAAATGTCTATGAGTCATATGGGAATGGATAACAATATTCATGCAAAAATCACTATGGAACAATAAAAACTGCTACAGTTAATTTTAAATATGAAATAGTAGTAAAATCAATTAAATCAGTGGTTGAAAGATTGCTGAAGGCTATAGAGAATGTCAAAGGACTTATATGTAAAATAATAAATCATTCTGGTATGTATGATATTATACTAATATAAGTTTCTATGGCCTATTGTTGTACACTATTTGCCTGATAAAACATAGCACTCCCAAAACAAAATGTATATATATCCTGGGTGTAACAGTAACATTGTAGTGTTACATCATAATTATCCAACATACAAAATGTTTAATATCTGAAAAAAACACTAAACCTATTTTTCCAGGCTTACAGATAAGACGTTAAACCATCTTGACATCATTTGTCTCAATGAAAAGCCGTTTGACTTATTTAGCGAGAAAGAGAACAGGTTAAAATTATTTTGTCTCAGCCCTACAGTCTTCCCAACTGAGCAATGGTAAGAGGAAAGGCCTTCAATAACGATACCATCATTCATACTCTGGCTTCTATCTCCAAAGTTCATTCAAGAATCATCAAGACAACGTTGAATAAGTTTTAAAAAAATAGGGAAGAATACGGAAGATCAGGAGGTCACAGGAGCAAGAGGGATCATCATTTCAACTGAAAGCTAAATACATTATTATTGTTCAAAGTAGAGCCTAATAGTGTTATAAAAAAAATCGGAGACTTCCAGTAAGATATCTTTAATCATTTCTAAGATATTACTAGGATGAAAAGGTTAACTTAAAATTGGACAATTTTCCTGTTACACGATTTGTACAATTTTGCGGTTACACCCGGTACATATACACACACACACACACACACACATATATATATATATATATATATATATAATCCTGAGGGCGGAAACTACAGAAAATTACTTTTTGCTATCGATAATTTGATAAAATAAGCTTCCGCCTCTCTCTCTCTCTCTCTCTCTCTCTCTCACACACACACACACACACACACACACACACACACACACATATATATATATATATATATATATATATATGAATTTTTATTGTTTTCTCTAGAAATCATGCTCAAGATATTTCCTTACCACCATAACTAAGCTGGGACATCTTAATGTCGCCTAGGTTCATATGGACGACATTTAAGGGTCACTGAAGGTCAGCCAGGGTCTCCTAACTGTGATTAAAGTAACTGGAGGTCACTTATTCTCCCCCATTACAGCCCAAAATGATCCTAATTTTCATTTTGCAAGACATAGGCATGACGCCAATTTTTTAGCAGTACAACATTTTTTCCAATGAATTAATCTCATCTGCATTGTTTTCACCGACACCTTTACGTCGTAATCTATCTATCTATCTATATATATATATATATATATATATATATATATATATATATAAACTTTTGGGAAAAGTATTAATCCTCTTCTTCTTCCTCCAGCTATGGGTAAATAGCAGTACAGACTGGGTTCTATAGCCTTGGACGGCAACTGGCCTAGGAGAAGGACAACTCTGAATTCAAAACCTGCAGAAGGTCATTTGGGGACCTTGTGGCACATCATGCACCAGGTCTCTGTATTTGACCCCTTCAAAAAGTCTGGTTGGTTCTGCACAAAACTTTCACCACTATAATCAAATCATATGTGCTGGTGTCTGGGCTGTTGGTTCCTAGGAACTGAGTTGCTTGACGTTCATACGACGAATACGATGTGAGAGTCCTATATATATATATATATATATATATATATATATATATATATATATATACTAGCTTAAAACCACCCTACGTAGTTGAGGGGTTTGAAACGCCCTAAGTCTTTGCATAGTCTTAGCATCTGTTCCACTGTTAGCGGAGATTTTCATTTTGCTGCCGTATGCGATAGGCAAGAATAAACTACAGAACAACTCAAAATTGATCGCTGCATTTAAGTATTGCATTAATATTTAAGCTTAGCTTTTTTAAAAGTTCAATGATAATTCTTCTACCGCCACTTAATCTAAAGACAAATTTTTACTTTCCGTACAAACAATTATTTTTATTTCATGGGTAACTTTCGTTGGATTTTGCAGTTCATTTCCATTATTCCCAAATTTATTTCCAACGTATAAAAATTGTTATAGTGCAACAAAAAATAAATTCGTCAAAAAAACATCTCGTAAAAACATCTCTGAAAGCAATTTCAGTCATGAAAACTTCGGAATTCAAAATTACAACGCTTGATCTCGTTTTCTGTTAGTTCTATAGTTGTTTTTTTTTTCTGTTTTTAGTATTTTAATATGGCGTAAATTGCTGTAGCAATTCCAATTCTCAGTTGTAACAACCGTTCCGAAGTAAAATTGCTATATGGACGACTAAACGACTCCCAATTTGATATTTTTTGTGTGTGGAACCCCAGTAATGTTACATGGACGCACAGGGTCCATATGCACCCAGGTTGAGAACCACTGGGATAGATGGAGCTCGCCAACACATGAAGGCAGTCCATCTAGAAGAAGGAAAACCCTGATTTTAAAACACCGATGCTTTGCGGTTATATCCAAATGCGGAAAAGACTATGGAAGTAAATCCGGACAGAAAATCAGATGTGAAGCCCTGAATACGTTTCGGTGTCAACACTGACAACTTTCCGGAAACTCATCCCCAAATGCAATACCCTGAATTTCTTTGTATCTTGTTAGTACGGGCGAGATGTGGCCGTGCGGTCTGTGTAGCGCATCACTTCTATATACCATCACTGAGACCTGTGCCGTGGAGATATCAATACCATAGGTCAGAATTTTGATCAAACTGGGCGGTACCTTCATCTTGAAATATAAACGGATGCCTACATATTTCATATATATATATATATATATATATATATATATATATGAAGAAATATACTCTTAAGGTGAGCTATATTTATGGGATAAAGCGCTCAATATCAGAGATAGAGGGTGTGTAAATATAAAAGTGAACATTTAAGTCAACACTTAGAAGCGACAGTCTGTTTCATGCTAGACGCAATCGTAAGGCCACGAAACATATATATATATATATATATATATATATATATATATATATATATATATATATCGACTCTCCCGTCGAATTCGACGTATGACAGTCAAACCAACAGCCCGACAACAGCATGAGATTTGATTATAGGGGAAAGGTTTCCTGCAGGACCATCCACACTTTTTGAAGGGCCGAATACACAGATCTACGTGCCACAGGGGACCCAAACAACCCTCTCTCAGGTTTTGAATTCAGGGGTGTCCTTCTCCTAGACCATCCAAGGCTATAGAACCCAGTCTATTTACCCATAGCTGGAAGAAGAAGAAGAGGATTCACACTTTTCCCAAGGGTATTGGCACGTAAGTGAACGTCATGGACTCGACTGGAATTCGAACTCGGCTCTCTGATTCCTCAATCGAAGCCGCTATCCATTATTCCACCGTGCGTGCGTGCGTGCGTGCATGCCTGCCTGCCTGCCTGCCTGCCTGCCTGCCTTCCTTCCTTCCTTTCTTTCTTTCTTTCTATATATATGTGTATATATATATATATATATATATATATATATACACACACATATATATATATATATATATATATATATATATATATATATATATATATATATATATATATATCTTCTTTTAAAGGGAGTCTGATCAGGAGGCTTTGAGGAGCGTGGAACCACCTCTTAATTGCTGGTCTTCCCAGGTCAAACCTGACCCGGGGTGGTAGCACCTGTCAGGGTCCCAGCTATAGGCAAATAGTTAACCCCCAAACTGGGGTCAAAACACTATGAAAGTATGAAAATAGGTTTTAATACCAGCAATATGTCTTTGAAAATATATTACCAGCAATGCATTTTCTAAGGAAAAGTTTCAGCAGCAATAGATTTTTGAAAAAGCAATAATAAAATAACAGCAATAAAAATCTTGTCGACATTAAATAACAGGTGAGGTTGATAAACCGTAAAACAAAACCAAAATCAAACACCAGGGTTGGGCACCTTCAGGAGAGTTCAGGGGTCATTATCAGGCACAAGAGGCGTCCCTAATAAGAAAACAGTCGAAGTGGTTTGATCAATTTGTGAACAGCTTCCTAAAATCCTCACTAAACTTGACCTTGTGTCACAATCTATTTGGACGTGAACGTATTGATAAATAACAATTGCTTGCAATTTACCAGATGCAATAGATACCTGAAGTTGAAGTAGGCCAAATACCGTATCGGCTGGAATATTCTTTTAACGGAAAGAAAATAAAGTAATTGGTTTGAAAAAATCGAAATATTGTTTTTTTTTTTTATTTTGTTTTTTTTTTCTTGTTCCTAATTTATTTTGCAAATTCTATAAGAGAGCGACTTATGCTTGAGTTTATACGGAATATGCGTTAGAATCGGATGAATGCTTCTGTTGGTAAGAGGCTATAATGTAAATAAGTCAATTACCAAAGTAAATAGGGAAGTGTTTATATTGTTCTGTAATTGTGACAAAGCATGAGGCAAATTCCGAAGTTATGCTTGACAAGTTCAAGAAACACAGAAGTAAAAACAATGGAACAGAAAAGAAGTAAACAATACTTTTAACAGATAACAGCTACAAACGCATATATATATATCTATATATATATATCTATATATATATATATATATATATATAGAGAGAGAGAGAGAGAGAGAGAGAGAGAGAGAGAGATGAATTCCCCCTGATAGATACGAAAAGACTGAGATAGTAAGATAGATCGATATGAACAGGCTGAAATAGATAGAAATGAACAACCTTACACACACACACACACATATATATATATATATATATATATATATATATATATAGAGAGAGAGAGAGAGAGAGAGAGAGAGAGAGAGATTAATTCCTCCTGATAGATAAATACGAAAAGACTGATATAGATATAAAGACAGACAAGAACAAATTGAGATAGATAGATAGATATGAATAGACTCAAATATATATATATATATATATATAAATATATAACAGATATAGATAGATATATATATATAGATAGATACACACCGATAGATAGATAGATAGATAGATAGATAGATATGAACAACTTTAGATAGATAGATAGATAGATAGATAGATAGATAGATAGATAGATAGATATGATATGAATAGACACATATATATA